TCATCACACACAGAACTAGACTTTACAACAGCTTTTTCCTTGCTACAGTAAGACTGATGGCAAATATGAAAATGTGACAAATGTGAGAATATACGGTATGTATGTGCAATAACCCCTCACTACCTCACCAAGTGTAATGCCATATCCAACTCCACCATGTGAATCACTAAGTGCGATGTTTGAAGTTCACTGTGGGAAATACTATTACCCTATTTTTGTGTATTGTTTTAATACTTTGTCGCCCTTATGTAACTTTATTTTAAAACTTAAGTGTTCTTTCTGGCCTTTGACTCCTTACCTGACTCCAAAGGAGAGCTGCACAAGAATTCCTATATGCCTAGACTGTCTGTTTATGCATAAATGGCAAATAAAAATCTTGAAATGTAAGGATTTGTCAGAGTTATAATCAGTGTCGGATGAGCCTGCACACAGGGTCTAGTATCTACAGTGGCAAGAGAAAGTATGCAAACACTTTGGAATGACTTGGTTTTCTGTATTAAATGGTCACTGTAGGCTTTGGTTCTTGTTACCATTGCTAACTCTGAGAGACGAGACAGTCCAAGTAACTTCAAAACAGTGCTGATTTATTCAAAGGATCACAGGTAAAATTAACATTACACACTCAGGTATCTTGCACCTCCAAACTGCTCGCAGGCAGATGTAAGATGAAAGACCCTGAACCCACCAGGCCTATACATTATATCCCCTCGGTTGGGCTAGCCCCATACTACACAGAAACGTAAACCGAGACGTCTCTGTTACCAGCTTTGCAGCTGGTCATAGCAGTAGTCAAAACATGAAGTAAATCAATGTGTGTGTGTCTGTTGGTTAAGTGGTGTGTAGCTAAAAACATTCTCACAGACTTCTAGTAACATGTCGTGACTTAAACATAAGAACATATTATGGCTAAGGCTACAGTTATACATGTCATAATAATAATATTAAACACCCTGTCTGCTGACAGTCATCAACTCTTCTCTCTAGTTATCCTTGACCAGATGTACCCTGTAGAAACTCATAAGCATGACTAAGCATTTAACAGTCTAACTAGACATCCTATCTCCACTAAACATTTCTAATACATAAAGTATCTATCCAATTTCTATCTGACTAAAAATACCTAACAGTCATAAAATATGAGCTGATCTTCATCCAAGTCACAAGACAGATACAATGTTTACATTAATAACTCAAAGGATTATGGTATGGTATTGAACAGTCATTAAACATTAAGTGCTGAGGGAAGAAGTAAGTGAAGAATCCTGTTAGAAATTCCCCAATTCTTTTGTTGGAAGTGTGAGAAGTGAAGACAGGAGAGGACTGTTTAAAATCAACAGGAAGTTTACTCAAAGTTTGAGCACAGGTGAAGTCATATAGCGCTGGGATCAGAGAGACAGAGCTCCCACAGGAAATCGATTTTCTGAACCCTGAATTGTGTTTTACAATACATTTTATCTTCTCGGGCTGCTCCGCCCTGGACAGAGGTACAATATTCAACACTTCGCAATTCTATTGGCCCTTTGGTGTAAGCGGGAGCTCACACTTACTTGTTGGAATTTAGTAAAATCCGGTTGTGTGTGTGTGTGTGTGTGTGTGTGTGTGCATGTGCAGTTTTCAGGTGGGAGCTTGATCTTGATCAATGGACACTGAACAATGGGTGGTCTGGGTTGCAGGCCCCCCTGTATGTGTGATGCTAATAAAATGCTAAACTGGCCAGGTGGTCATCTCAGGTTGTGGGCCCCCGGCCTCTGCAGGACACCCCAAGACAAAGCAGAATCTGATTCAGCATCCATACCTTGTTTTCCTGGTCTTTATTGTTATTTTTATTATTCTGGTTTCTTCCATCCGTTTTTTGGCACTTCATTTTTACTTTGAGCTATGAAAACCATTCAGGTATCATGTTCAACCTTTTAATGATATTTATGCTTGTATACAACTTTTTTATAACTTTCATACTTTTTAAACTATTTAGCTTCTTTCAGCAAATTTTTGCCCATTCAAATGAATGGGAAAATTCTACTTCAGCATACTTTCAGCTATCAAAATGTTCAGCTCTTCAAGGACATTCATGCTTCTTTTCAGACGTTTTCTAAATCTCATACCTCCTGAAATATTTAGCTTTATTTTGATAATCTTGCCCCATTCAAATGAATAGGAAAATTCTATTTCATCTAATAAAATGTTCAGCTCTTCAAGGACATTCATGCTTTTATTCAGAACTTTTGTAAATGTCATACTTTTGAAATATTTAGCTTTATTTTTTGAAAGTTTTGCCCCTTTCAAATCAATGGGGAAATTCCAACTTCAGCATACTTTCAGCTAGCAAAAGCATTCAGGTGTCAAAATGTTCAGCATTTTCAGGGCGATTTTTCAGCACTTAGCATCCATACGCATTTTCTTCAATGCAATTTTCTTCAGACAATGCAATTTTCTAGTTCATTTTCCTCTTTGATGTCAAGCTGCTCCCTCCATCGTGCTCCTCCTTTGGGATGATGTTTTCATTTTGGTATGCAGTACCTTTTTTATGCCATACATAGTGCTGAGTTTGTTCCAAGCAATTTAACTTTATTTCACCAGTCCACCAAACATATTCCCAGTAACATTGTGGAGCGTCAAGGTGACCTTTTTTTAAAAGTTCAGGTGTGCTGTGATTTGTTTATTTTTGAAGAGTAGTAGCTTCCTCTGTGGTGTCCTGCTATGCACCATGATTTGCACAGGACTCATGAACAGAGATGTTAATCAGCTCCAATGATTCCTTTTAAACTTCGAACTGTTAACTCTTCTTCTCCACCTCAATGGGCATTCTGTGTTGCGCCTTTGGAGGCATCTTATCTGGATCCCCACTTCTAGGGAGAGTAGCTATCAGACTAAACTGCCTTCCATTTACAGAAATTACTGTCTAACCCTCTCCAGCTTTATGCAAATCAACAATTCTTGTTCATAAGCCATTTGATATCTCTTAAAAATCTAATTTTCATAGTAAGGTTCACATGAACAGATGCTTCTACTGAACAGCAAACTCAATGTTTGTGTGTGTTTTTTAAAATAATTGTAGCTCTAACCCAAACCTCCAGTGTTAATTGATTAGACTCAGGTTGGCTAGCTCCAGACTCTACGTAATTAGCTTTTGTTGTAATTAACTGTGGGGTTCTATACATTTTCCAGAGTGACTGAATGATAAACAACACATGATGTGTTGATTGCTTACAATTGAAGCTTAGATGAAGATCTGATCATATTTTAAGAGAAACGTATCCATAAATCCAGATAATTATGAAGGCTTAACTTTTTTCTTGCCATTGTAACAATTTCCTGGCAAACTCGGCACAATGACACAGCCTTGTTGCCAAGAGACAACACCAGTCATTAGTGATTGATGACAAAACAACAGCGGACAGGCAGATGAATGGATAGATTTGATTTTACATGGTGGAGAGTACTTTGCAATTAGTGCTCGGCTAGTCTCTCCAAGTTAAAGTCAGAGGCAATCTCCTTTATTTCTTCTGAAGATGTAAATCTATATATTTCTGTGAAATACAGGAAACAGTGCATTTGTTGGACTGTTTTCAGCAACAAGATCGTGTATGTGGCACTGCATCAAAATACAGTGTATGCTTATGATAATGAAGGGACCACCCAGTTTAACATTTTAGCTCATTGATGTGTTTTTAATAGATTTTAAACAATAGAGCTCTGTGGCACAGAGGAATAAGGTATCAGGGTTTTGGCTTTGAATTAAACTCTGCATTAGAGATGGGCAATGATATTGGAATAGTCGTTCCATTAAAAAAAACAAAAAACAAAACGGAATATTTCATGCGACTATAGTTTAGTCTTTAAAAACAAAGCCACAGTTTTCCCTTGCTTTTACTGGCGCTTTGAAATAAAGCTAGCTGAGATTGAACCAAACAATATGTGCCATAAAAATCACCGGAGTTGGTGATTATTCTCTGACAGTTTCACAGTTACTAGAAACACTTTATTACACATTAGCTTTGCTAATAAAAAAATACTTTTGTTTTCCTCAGAGAGCATCTGCATTGGGTAAATGGACAGCTTTTATTTCTTATGTGGGTATAGACAAACTGCAAGAAGCTCAACAGTGATAAAGCAGACAGATTATTGTGGTTTGTAAACGGTCAATTCCAGTTTTACTGGCTCAACTGGTTTTACTGGTCCAGGTCCAGAAGCTTTGGAGGTTCTTCAGGTTCTACCGGCTCCATATCCTGATTGGGGTCCTGTAGAAGGGGAGGGGGGAAGAGGTCAAACCAGGAAACTCGTGAAAAGGTCACGAAGTATGCAATCCCCATACTTTTGGTAATAAAACAATATTTATGTGAATTCCCAGAGATATCCTGTCATGCCTGTGTGTCACCTGCTCTGGTCTGGATTTTGTGATTTTCGGCAAAAACTTAACTTCCTGCTGTGATTTAATGCAAGGGGCTGCATTGCCTGTTGGGGTGGGGTTGTAGGCATGTACAATATGGCCATGTTGTGGCGAGTCAATGTGACTGACTTCTTTCACATTTTCAGCATGGGAGTTCCTGTTGTATTTTGATTAGCCATGCTGCTAACATAGCCTCCTCTACCCTGTTCCAAATTCAACGGTGAACAGCAGTGAATGCTCGTGCTCATTAGGAGCTTCCAAACCAGAGGACCATTTTTAGGCCCTACTTCAGAGTAGGTACTCTCCAAACACAATAGGAGCCATGAATGATGTCAGTTGTCAAGTTTTAGAAACTGTTAGCTGTGTGTAGTGATCAATAGCCATCACCAGTGGCATGCTGAGCTGCAGCCCACCATCATAAGCCTCTGCAGATTGTTAGTGGCTCCTTATATAATTAACGTTGACATATATCTTACCGGTAATGTAATATCACTGTGTGAGTGGGTTGGCTTAGCATTATGTCATGTCATTGGTCTTACCGGTTGGTGCAAATGCAAACAGAAAAAAAGCCTGTAATGGGGGTGTAATTGTTGGGGTAGACCTTAGAACTTAAGTCCCTAGAACTATTTGGTCTGAAAGTGCCTATAGAGGCAGCTTGTGGCAGAGGTTTAAGAAACACCAAGTAGCTCAAGTACTGGTCAACTCACCCCAAATGGTTCAGCAAAGGCCCTGGAGCTGCTATAAAGAGGGTTGGGGATTGAGACAAGTGTAGGTTTGGTCCTGCCTCCGGTCACACCATCCTCATCCTCATTCTGTCACAGAGGAAACGTAGCAAAATGACACCATGATGTACAGTGTATTTAATGGATTTCCAAAACCACAGAAGTGACCTCTTGGAAAAATTTATTTGATTTGTACTTTGAGATTTTAGTTTGGTTCATGACCTCTACTGCAACCAGCCACGAGGGGGGCGATCTTGTCACAGTGGCTTCAGTTCTGGGAGCTCTAAGCCAGAATGCAATGCTTTGTTTACTATCAGGTGTTATTGTGAAATAGGTCAATTCACAGGTAAGATATTAAAACAGATATATCACACATCATACAAGGCTTCTGTAAACCATGTGTGTGTTCTCTGTGAATAAACCCCAGAAGAAAAAGTTGAAATAAAGCCTAAAGTGCCAAGTTACGTTCTTACATTGCTCTCGTTGTGTCCTGCTTATGAGTTAGCGCCTATTTCTCACTTCCATTGTGTTTTACTAGTAACCATTAAACTAAATGGATTTGTACTCTTGTATAGTATGTAGCTGTAGTAGTAATCAGTTAACTGTAATGTTACTACAGTGTAACCACACATGACTCAGCATCCACACAATTATTGTAGTGGTTAAAAATGGAACTGATGTTGTTGCATGTAGCCTGGACAACAAACAGTTTTACTTTTGTACAAAATGACGACTCCCAGAATCTGCATGGTGTATTTTCTCTCCTGTAGGCCTGTTACTGTCTGTGGCATTCTGTAGGCGGCCAGGCCAGAAAGCAATAGGAGAAAAACAAGTATGAGGCTGAGATTGGGAAAGATGGAAAATTCCTAGAAGTGACCTGTGTAAAGGTTTTTACCTAATAAGAACATTGTTTTGATCTGAACTTCCCAGGGGAGGTGGTCGCTGTAGTATACAGTGTGTAACTACCAAATTCAGCCCAGTTCATATTAGGAACATCAGCTCACACCAGTTCTGTCACTGTCTGTCATATGTTTCTTACTTTGAAGTAATGGAAGCGGAAAGCATCGGTCTTGTGTTTGAAGATGTAGTACCCAAGTGCAGCCAACACACACGCCAGCAACAAAGACACCAAGATGGCTGCCGCTGTGCCGCTGGAGTGGGCGTGGCCTTGGGAAGCATCATTGGAGCTCTGGAGACGAAAGGTATGACAAACACAAACTCACATGAGAATTCATGGATGAAAGACAGAACGACAATATCAGCACTATGCTGAAAAAATGTAGAAGAAATCATCTGGATGTAGTTTTAAGTAGAAGACATTTCACCTCTCATCCAAGAGGCTTCATCAGTTCTGTCCAACTGGTGGTGAACAGGAGGTATTTATCCCCCGAGTGGTGTTTCAGTCCTTTGACGGCCAACAATGTCACCTAACAACTGAGTCATTAGGGTCTGGTATCAGTGAGAGTTACGTCTTTGAACCCTCACACGTGGACAGACGCCTGTTGTCCTGGTGTGAATTAGGGTTGAAATGTTTGGGGTAGGGATTTCAAAACAGAGTTGTTGATGGATGAAAAGTTGTCTTAGTCCACCACCCCTATTTAGAGAGGGGAGGGGGGTTCTATTTGGACAAAAATTGCTTCTTTGACTCCTCTCTCAAACCAGCGATGTTGTCTGGAGAGGATCTGGACTTCACTGTCCCCAAAAGAATGTCCTTTGTCCTTCAGGTGGAGGTGGACTGCTGACTCTGATCCACTGGGGTTGGCCCTCCTGTGTTGGGCCATGTATTTGCATGTAATTGCATACATGACATCACTACATCCAGATGATTTCTTCTACATTTTTTCAGCATACTATGACTTGGATGACTGAGAACTTGCACAGAAATGAAAGCACTAGATTCAACATGGCAGCACTCAGTCACTGAGAGTGAATGCACTAATCACTTTTTGGAGATGTAACAACTAACAATATTACACAATCCATCTAGCTACATGTCAGCCTGCTAACCTCAACCAGAACCTTCTCGTTTCATCCTGAAGGAATTATCAGGCCCTCAGCTGAATGTCTAACATCACGGCTCAGTAATACATTCCCAACCCAGCTTGGTTTCACTTGAATTCTTTTCAACTGCACCAAATCACAACAAAAAACAAACCTAAATTCAGTATAATGTGCATGTCTTTAGTGCCAATTCCAGTAATTCAGTGTTCTATTTTTTATCATTGTTTAATGCTCGTTCTACTCTCTTCTTCTGCAATACCACTAACTGGTTATCTTGATGAGCTGACTCCTGGTATTCTCAAAACCGCAGTGAATGAAAACGTGAATGGAATTACATTTTCTTTTGCTGACTTTCTTGAACTTAAGAAAATGTGCATTTCTATGGAAATCTAGCTCGTGACTTGTCGGTTCAGAATGAGAAGAGCCTTGATTTGCAGCAGCTCAGGGTTAAACCCTCTTCACTCACCGGTTGGGGAGGCGCTGTCAGAGGGGCTTCG